ACTTTTGTTTATTTAAGCCAACCTAGCCTGTTCTCCTTCCGTGCAAACACCCTGGGCTTCTGAAACTCTTCCCTTGCACGAGGAAAATGCAGATAAAGAACTGAGTGTGAGGGCATTCCCTGGCAGGAGCAGGAGCAGAGGCAGTGGCTAGAACAAAGGGATGAGATAGAATTTCAGCATCTACCATGGCAGCCAGACGGAGAGAAGGATGCTGTTGAGGAAAGACCATTCCCACGGTGGCAGACATTGCAGGTGCCCTGCCTCATCCTCTCAGCCCAGCTCTGAGTTCACTGGCATTCTGTGTTTCTGATTCTCTGAGACTTGACTTTCTTCAGGGCTTCAGACCTTGCTCAGCAGCCTCTCCTGCAAGGGCAACGCTGGGGGCAACGCTCACAGATAGTTTGGGGAGTCTGTAGATAAATGCTCCAGCTTGCCTGTCCCTTGGAGGTCAAGTCCTGAGGCCTGTTCTACAGGGTTCCATAGAGGGCCCCAGAGGATAGAGTGCCAGTTGCCCGTGGCAATGGCTTTCTTCCCAGCATCCCCTTCTTTGCTTTTCTCCTGTTCCTGCTTACCCTCCCCCTCCCTCACTCCTGCTTCCGGGATCGCCTCCCAGATAAACCACCTGCACCTAGGTCCATGTCTCAGGGTTGGCTTTTGGGGTGAACACAAACTAAGACTCCCCCTCGTCCCCATGCCCCACTTTCCTCACAGGTGAACTTGCAGCCCAAGTGGGAGAACAATGTGTACATGTACTTGTACTTCGTCATCTTCATCATTTTCGGTGGCTTCTTCACACTCAATCTTTTCGTTGGGGTCATAATTGACAACTTCAATCAACAGAAAAAAAAGATAAGTGGGGTTCCGGTGTTTCTGCGGTAATGGCCAATCTTATACTTCTTGTCCCCTGGCCTCATGACTAACGCCAACACTACTCATAGCCCTTCATGTCTGACGGGGAACCCAGTTTTGACCTTTAACACCAACACTGACCTTTGTCCCCTGGTTGCTCACCTCTGTTTGGTGTCTGGGCTGCTGCTGAAAGAGTTGTATTTCTCTGTATCAGCATTGCCTCCCAGTCTTGCCTGGGGTCCCCATCTTCTCTCCCAGAGTGCCATGGTCCTCCTACTTGAACCAAGTGGGTTGGGTGTGTCCCAGGTGACCCCTTGGGGAGTATCAACAGGGAAAAAAGGGGCTCCAGCACTTGCTGCCTCTGTCTGGAGCCCTGGCATCCAGAGCTCTGAGTCGGGATGCCTTGGGAAGGGCCAGAGTTCAGTGTTGGCAGAATCCCAACCCTCCTCAGGCTAGGGAAGAAGACCCTCGCCTCCATGGGTGCTGACTTCAGTAAACAGGAACCCAATCTCAGACAACCTGTTATATATTTATTTATCCTCACCCAAGGAGATTTTTCCTTTGATTTTTTTTAGAGAGAGTAGAAAGGAAGGAAGGTGGAAGGGAGAGAGAAAGAGAGAAACATTGATGTGAGAGAGACATATCAATTGGTTGCCTACCACCCAGGCCCTCACTGGGCCAGGAGTTGAACCCATCACCCTTCAGTGTCTCCATTCTAACTACTTAGCAACAACAGTCAGGGCCACAGATTTTTCTGAAATCTCCTTTCAAATGCCACAGATCTCAGTCCCTTTCCAGCATTTGCAGTCACTAATTTATACAAACATGGTATTGAAATGGGAGGCTTTAAAATTATGTCATGAAGTGGAGGTGAGGGGTTGAATGTAGGAAGTTCAAAGTGTCCCTAAAAAAAACTAACATCCAATCCTAAGGGAGGAAGGCATTGTCAGTGGGGGAATTTCTAGCACTGTAACAGCAGGGAGCAGTGTTACCAGCAGGACCTTCAGAAAACCAGTCAAGGGTTCTCCAAAGACCCTTGGATAAAGCAATAACTCTCCAGGAAGGGGTTGAGGGGCTGGGTCCCAGGGTCTTTGTTCCAGAAGTCCCTGAGGTAAGCTCTTGCCCCTGGCCAAGATAAGTTTCTAGAAACCAATGGATCTTATTGGAATGAGTATCCTGGATTCTAGGCTCAGATTTGAACCAACCCATACCTTCCCCTTGGGTCCTAGTCCCAACCCCTCCCCACCTTTGTCCATGTGGCATCTCTGGGTTCCTATAGGTGAGAAACAGGACACTCCTTGATCCTGGCTTTGGCATGAAAGGGGAGAAAGTTGAGATGTCTTTCCCCTATAGCATGATTTTGATAATCCTGGGGGCTCCAACTGCTTTAATAACAGTGGTGTGTGTTATCCTCTCCTGCACTTAGGGGGCCAGGACATCTTCATGACCGAGGAGCAGAAGAAGTACTACAACGCCATGAAGAAACTGGGCTCCAAGAAGCCCCAGAAGCCCATCCCCCGGCCCCTGGTGAGTCCTAGAGTTTCCCTCTACCTGAGTGTGTCTATGAATCCAACCTGACAGCCTATGCCTGTGCTGGGTAGGGGCTGGACAGTGCCCTCGGTGGAGGAGGAGATACGGGTTGAGTTCAGGGATGAGGGTAATGAGCATTCTCGGGTCCAAGGAAAGAGACGTCTAAAAGAAGCAATTCTGGTCTTAAAGAGTGAACATGTCTTCTACAGTTACTCCAGATAGAACTGTTTAGGGAAGTACTGAGTTCCACAACAGTTTTAGGGTTCAAGTACAGGATTGAGAGCTGATTAGGCTAAGTGATAAGAAGGATGGTTAGAGCCCTGAGATTAAAAAATTGTGTGAGTATGCATTATGATCTATATTGCAATGGATCTCTAGCCTTACCCTACATTGCCCCCCATTCCTACAGCTAGAAAGAGGGGAAATGGCCCAAACCCAACACCCTCTGGATCCTGGATTGATCAAGATCATGGTCAGGTGGCACAATAGAAATAAAAAAAATTATCCCACTCTAGTATTTAAAGATTGACCAAAACTTAGGGCCATCCTCCACTTTGATTCCTTTATTCACAAAGATCCTAAGAGGCATGCCCTTTTATTCTCCTGTTAAATGCAGCACCCAAACCGTACATGATACCTACCATCTAAGTTTTTCTCAGGCCTCTGCCCAGAAGGTGGAAAGCATCAGGGGCCTGTGGCTGGCCCCTGATGGAAGTGGAGCAACAGGTTTGGGAGTGGGGATGTTGCTCTGCTGGAAATATACAGCTGAACCTCTTCAAAGAATTTCTGAGCCATCTATCCCAGTGAATAGAATCGGCATCCTGTCCCTTTTTATAACCTTTCTGTGGTTAAGATGCAACATTTATGAAGAAAACTACAGGCACTGTCCATGGCAAAATCCCATTAGCCCTTCCCCAAACAAGGGCAGAGCTTAAGGACCTTCAACAAAGAGACAGGACTTTCCCTAAATGAATTAGAAAGACCCACATTAGAATTTCTAAATCAAGGTGTGGGATTTGCATAAATTACTAAGATATCCATGAATACAGAGTCTTAAAAACATTTACAGGAGGGAAAAGGTGTTATGAACTTTGGCACACTTTACTTGGAACCCGTGGCCATAAATTTCTTACTATTCTCAGTTCTGATAAGAAATGTTACAATGGGGAATGGGGAGTGATAGGATTTCAGAGGCAGAAGTTTCTTCCCAAATCCCCATAAGATCAAGATAACTGGGCGTGAGTGAGCAGGGTGAACCTGAGGGAAAGTCCTTCAAGTTCACTGAGTATCCCTCTGTCAACTAGTCCAATGGGCAGGAACAGGCTCAAAATTGGAATATATAGGTGAAAGGCTGAGCCCAGCCAATCAGAGTCAAGTCAGGGGCTACGGTTGGAGGATGCTCAGACTTCCTGAGAAATAAGCAACTGAGTCCATTCTGGCCTTTACTGACGGCTGGACTGATGTTGACTCCATGTTTGAACCAGACACCAAGGAGTTCTATGCTAAGGACAACCCTTGGTAAAAAGTCAAAATGGTTTCTGGAACCTCCCCCTACAAACTACTCAATTTCTCTATAATATCTCAGCTTCTCCCCTCGCACCAACCAATCCCACAGGCCACCATAGCTTTCTCCTCTGAAGGAAGACAATCTCCCTGGGACAGGGTGGGCTGCATTTCAAAAAGGAACTGTGGAGAGGACACTAGGAACTAATGTTGGAATGCCAGGCACTACAATAGTGTTGGAGGTTGATGGTTGGGCAGGAAGACCTACAACAAAATCACCATTTTTCCTAACTAAGGCACACCCAAGACTGGTACTGGGAGGAGGTTCTTCATATAGATAATAGAAGCGAGACCATAGACCAACTGTGTTCCTGAGATTCATCATCCCTTAGGATGGGGAGGGGGGGCAGGCAATAATCACTATCAATACTATATTAGCTTTAGTGGGGGAGCATGGCTCTCTCCTTCATATTCTGGTCCAAGAATGGCAAACACTTTTCCCTTTGTTCCCCTCAGCATAACTGAGGCAAGGCTGGGACATTCAAATAAGACTTTGAAGTCTTAGGGATGCTGCAGGGCCCAAGTAGCAACTGCAGCCAAGGCCCATCCCAGCTCCTGGCTGGCATCCATATGGCAGACAACATCTTGGCATCCACCACCCAATGGCACAAGTCTGATTACCTGTCCCCCTCAAAGTCCAGAGCTAAGAAAGAAACCCAAAGAAAAAGAGAAATTTCCTCTGCCAGATAAGATCCACCTTCTCAGGTCCAGTTTTCTTTTCACATGACCATTGGCACTAGAATGCTCACCTTCTTCCGTTAGGAGTCCCAACAGGTCAAGCTGGTCAGATAAGCAGGGCATTGGCACAGAAGTTCTGACCCACAGTTGCATGGATGCCATGTCATAACACAGCCAACCTGGATGACGTAGGGACCTCCAACACATGCACATACATACCGCTTATCACCTCTGGTGAAGCCCAGGTTCTAAACCTTATGCTACATCCATAACAAATACTAAGATTTCCATGAGACTAAGAAATTTTATGCTATAACGTTCTTTACTATAGAAGTCACTAAAAGCAGGTTTTATATACTCCACTTTATGGGAAAATAATAGGCTCTATAATATCACATTATCAGTCACCCACTTCATCATCTCTGACAGCACTAAGAGCTGCAAAGGTGTGATCACTGCCCACAAGCTAAGCCGAGAGCAGCCAGCAAGCTGCTGCTTCCCCAGCGTCTGAATATACAGGGCAAACTCAATGCCTGGAACGTAGCAATGTTGTCACCTGTTCTGTTTCATTTGAAGTCATGTGGCTGTGAATGGGCTCTGTTTTTTCACCATTTTCAGTGATGAAATGGAAACTATTATTGGCTCAGCAATACCCCTCCCACTCCAGAAAAGACGTGAGTGGGCAATTATGCCGGAACCATGCCCACTTGGGTCTGATTCTTTGCTCTAACCACATAAGGCAGCAGCAACTCATCCCCACTATGAAGGAGAAAGTAGGAACCAGCCTCTGTCACAACCCTTCTCCCCTCTGATTGCTTTGCAGCTCCTGGGAGTTCCTGGTGAGACTCCTAACAGCTTCCTCTCTTCCTCCCTCACTCATGCAGAGCCTTGCACATAGTACACATTTATTAAGTGCCTGTTGTGCAGAAGTAAATTTAATCAAACCCTAATGGATTGGCTTTATGTTTTTTTTAAGGTATGGGTAACAAAGCTGTCTATTCTTTCATCCATTCATTCACCTGTTTATTGAGCACCTATTGTGTGCCAGGCACTATACAGATACTGGGGTAGAGCAGTAAGCAAGATAGACAAAGTTCCTGCCCTCACAGAGAATACTGCCCAGTGACTCAAGAAAATAATTAGCAAAAACCACATTTATGTTAATTCACAGGTTTGAGAGATTGCCAAGGGAGAAAGAATGGGTTGAAAAGCAAAGGGTGCCTAGGACTGAGCCTTGAGGAACTCTCACATCTAAAGGCTGTGTAAAGAAGACTCAAAAAGGAATAGCCAGGAAGTTAAGAAAAGAACCAGGAAAGTAAGGCATGATGAAAACCAAAAAAGGAGAGTTTCAAGATGGATGGGGTTGGTAATCAATGCCAAACAAGTGTCCGTGGAGTTAGCATTATGGAGGTCATTGGTGATCTTAGCAAAAACCATTTCAGTGGCAGGATGGGTACAAACGCTATGTTGGAGTGGATTGAGGAATGAATGGGAAAGAAACAGTGCTTGCGCATAACTCTTTCAAGAAAGTTTGCTGTGAAAGTGGAGAGAAAATATGGTGGGAGTTGGGGAAGATGTGAGGTTCAGGAAGATTTTTCTATAAATTATGAAAAACTAGGTCATTAGATAGTTAGCTATGGAACTAAGACATAATAGCCAAGAGTGGCCAAGTGTGGCTCAGAGCCTCAGTCATCAGTGACGCAGTTTCAAGAAGGAAGGACTTTACAAGACACAAGAATAAAGGTCTGGAATTGACAGAGGGGAACAAGAAGGATCTTGGGCCTGCCTCCTAGCCCTGGAGTTCATGGGGTGGGGAGCAAGTATCAGCCCTAAGTAAGAGGAGGTGTTTGCAGATCAAGGCAGGTGAACTCAGGAGAAGGTCAGGAGTGGAGAATGGAGTTCAGATCAAGGAGTCCCAGAAAACTACGAAGTTAACAGCACAGGAAAGACTAGAGTGCCATGCTAGGAACTTTCTTAAAACGCCATAAAAACAGCCAAATAGAAATGATCTCTTTGCTATCCAGGACATTCTACCTCTTTCCAAGAGTGCAAACAATTAAGACTTGACCCTGTGCTTTGTCCCTGCATTGGCTTAGACATCTGCACAGCCCCAGAAATAGAGAGCATTTGCAGGAAGAAGTTGCACCATCACACTACTTCACCCTTGAATCAATAATTTTGCAAGCAGTTCTTGAACTCTTGCTATATGCAGGGCACTAGAGGAACACAAAGTTGAATAAGACCTGGCTCCTATATTTAAAAGCTCATTGTCTAGTAGAGAAGAGCAGCATACATGAAATGCTAGAACTCAAGACTGACCGTAAAGGATCAGTGGGAACCCAAAGAAGGGGCAATGTGGCGTGATATGATTAAGGAAAACTCCCTGGAAGAAGTGAGGCTTAAGAGACATAGATCACTCAGACAATTGGGATTTAGATACCAAGAGACAGGGTGGAAGGGCATTGCAAATGGAGGGAAGAGCATGGACAAGGACAAAGTACCTGGTGACTTCATGGGGCCAGGAGAGGTGATGAGGACTTGAATTGAGGCAATGAAGTAGGATCAACTAAGAGTGATGTATTGGACAGGACTTGGCTTCTGATTGGATGTGGAGTGTGAGGGAGACAAAAGAGACAGACTTTGAAAACCTCTCTATGGAGAACACAGGCCTCCAGAGGCCTGATTGATGTTGGCCAAAAGGCCCTGACATGCCATGTCTTGTTTCTGCAGAACAAGTACCAGGGCTTTGTCTTTGACATTGTGACCAGACAGACTTTTGACATCAGCATCATGGTCCTCATCTGCCTCAACATGCTCACCATGATGGTGGAGACAGATGATCAGAGCGAGGAAAAGACGAAAATCCTTAACAAAATCAACCAGTTCTTTGTGGCTGTCTTCACCGGAGAGTGTGTCCTGAAGATGTTCGCTTTGAGGCAATACTTCTTCATGAACGGCTGGAATGTGTTTGACTTCATCGTCGTGGTCCTTTCCATCGGGAGTAAGTGGGCATCACACATGGTGGGGAAGCCCAGCCTCTGCTTGGGGTTGGTTTGGCTCTTCTTTCAAAACCAGGGGGACAACAAACAGACTTTTAAAACATGTTAAACATTAGAGGAGCCCAGTGTTTGAACTTCCTTCCAAGCACAGCAGATTTAAAATGCCCCTGGGCCTCTCAGTCAAATGCAGAGGTTGCATTGACCTTCTCCCTGCTGTCATGAAGTGTCTTCAGGCACCTGCTGTGAACAGAACCATCACCAGAATTTTGGAGGTTGATGGGGAACAATAGCTCCTCCTGAGAACCTCAGATGATGGAGTTTCCAGTGGGCTTTATTTTTATGATCTTCAAATCAGAGAGTGGGTGGTGTGATGTGGAGTCATAAAATACACCTTCTGAAAAAGGAGGTGGATTGCCAACTGAATGAAGAAAGTCTGGGAGGAGATTGTTGAAAAGGAGATTCTTAAGTCAAGAGTCTGGAATTAAATCTCTGTATAACTCTCCTCTTAAGGAATATGAGTGATAGAAAAGTCAAGGGATCGATGCCAGGAGATCAATGCTATTATGGTCTAGTCTGGGTGTTGTTGAGTGATGGGCCCAGGATTTTGGGGCCAAAGTTGTTCAGAGAAAATGAGTAGAGTCAGAGGCTAAAGTGGAGAAGGGAGCCACCATAATTGAGTGTTTGCTGAGTTCTGAGCCCTAGGCTGGTCGCTGTGAAACTTTACAGTCGCCGTGTGAAAGCAGTGTCATTATTCTTATTTTATACATTTAAAATTGAGCCCCAGAGATTAGGGAAGTTATGCAAAGTTATACAATTTGTAAAGGGTGGAGCTGAAATTAGATCAGGCTAATGTTCTAATGAACTAGCAGTCTCCCACCAACAACCGAGAAACTGTCCCTGGCCTCCTTGTGGATTACCCAAAGTTTGGCCTTATAAAAGCCAAATCCCAACACACCAGCTTTACTTTGCATTATAAATACATCCTGACCTGCTAACTTTTCATATCAGGGCACAACTGTAGATTTAACTTTCCATTGGTTTCCAATCAAAAGCTAACAGCATCTAAGCACGCCTTGCCAACACTTCATCAATCTCCCTACGAAATACAGCCTTGGATTGTGTTTAGTCATTTGGTGGTGGCGGCGGCAGTGGGTGGGAGGGGGTAGCGGGGTGGGGGAG